TCCTTAATTTAGTCCCCAGTCCACATATCTCCATATCACAACACAATCATACAATTTGGCTCGACCGGCAGCATCTGCTCAGGAAAGAGGCCCATGCTGCAATGGCAGGGCTGTTGCAAGGCAAGGCTGAGACCTCTAGAAAGCATGCATAGCTCATCCTTCTGTAATGCCTGTGTGGTAGGTTCATACTAAAGAGAAACCCTCTCTTTTTCATTCCTTTGTTTTTCTGGTATCCTTTGCATGTAACATTTTAGTTGCCGAGTTGTCGAAGCAGCCAGCCTGCTCCTATATCCATGACGGCAGCCAAGCTGGACAAGCACACACATGGTCTCATGATTCCCTGTTTTTTAACTCACCAAAACAGGTAGTAGCCTCAAAAATGCAATGAGTAATTAGCCTGAATCAGGGTAGATTGCTCCTCTCTGAAGCATGGGTGAATGCTGCAAGTGCTGCACCCATCGATTACATAGAAGAGAAAATTTTAGTGGTGGGTTTTGGTCATTTTCAGTTAATAAATCATTTAAATTGATAACTTCACATCTCCAGACAGACTTCTGATTTGAAAACTTCAAGAATTGTTGGGTAGACATACAAAAGGCACTTCTTTCTCTTCATCTGGAAAACATCTATGTTACACGCTTTCCAACACTGAGGTTTTTCCTTTGTATCTTTTTTTAAGAGGACTTTTATTATGCCTATGCTATGATTTTCTTCTGATCCATTTGCTTACCAGCCTAAGGAGCATAAAATAATATGTAGATACTTGACAAGTATTAGCAGAAATGTCAATGTACTGGGTGTGTTTTGGGGTGGAAAGGAGGGTATAAGATGGAGAGTAAGTCTGTCAGCTTGAGGCAGAAGAAGCTGATTTGTAAATAACAAAATTGTAGGATTTATTCTTTTTGATGCACTGCACTTTTATTAAAAGAAAATCCCCTGGAAACCTCTGTAAATGGCATGAAACATATAATTAGACTTAGCTTTTCTCACTCTCTGCTTATTTAAATGCTCAGTAACTTCAATGGTGATTCAGTAACAACTGATTTTATAGAAACATCTGACAATGAGAACAAATATTTGCAGTGGTTTCAGTCTCTGCTCTGTGTTTCTGTCCCTTCACCACAAGGCATGAGGGAGAGCTGCCTTCCCTGCCTGCACACCCGCACCACTTTCCCCACAGCTCCCACCTCCATCCAAGTCTGCTTCCCAACACTAAATGCCAGGAATAAAAACCCCTAAATAGGACACACCTTGACTCATGCTTCCCAAATGCTAACCCCTAAATTCCAGGCACAGATCTCAGTGATGGCTTTTATCCTCCTCAAAATAAGTGCCAACAACAGGTGGGTTTGGCATAGATGAGACACCACAGCCACATGCAGCTGGTGGGTGGCGGTGGCACAGCAGCTAACCCCAGCACCCACCTGCCCCAGCAGCTCAGGGAGGCTGAGGCACTTCAGCTGCAGGTGTCCAAGACCATGCCGTGGTTGGGTTTGTTGTCTTTTGCCTGGCCTCGACCACTTCTGCCCTTTCTGTGTCTTCTAGGGGAAGAGATCTTCCATGTAGAGCCACCCCAAGCACCCCAGCACCCCAGCACCCCAAGGCCTGTTCCCACCTCTGCTGGCTTCAGTGGTATCTGCTGCCCATGCCATACACAAAAAGAAAGGTCAGATAATTAATATAGTGAATGGGCACCATGCTGGACCCATGGAAATGTCTGTGCTTGGTAAGACGTGGCTCAGTCAAACTATGACATAGAGTCCCACTGGTACAGCTCCTGACTCATCAGAGCCGTCAATGCTCACAACAACCCAACCCAGGTAGAATTTATTCTGAAGGTTTTGCCTCCTCTCTAGCCCAAAATCTGGAAAATCACAGCCATTCATAACCTCCTTGTGGAGGGCCCTTTATCAGGCGGCCCCACTGGCTGAGCACCAAAGGCTAGTGCCATATTCTGCCTCACTCATCTTCTGCACCCATTCCCAACCTGTCAGAACGGGGGAAGAAATACAGTCAATATAGTCAATTCTGAACTATATATATGTGTATATATATATAAGTAGGCATTTTTAGAGAGTTTCAGGTTGAAAGTTGCTTGTCAGAATCCGAGAAAGGAGCAGCAGTTGTTCTGACACTGCGGTTTTCACATCCTTGTCAGAGACTTGAAGCAGGATAGCTGATGTGTGTTAAAAAAAGGATGGCAAGGTTTTAAAATAGTTTAGATGCTGCATGGAGCAAATTTCGAGCGCTGTAGTAAGAGCTGGTACGAGTGTACATGCGCCTACCACCACCCGTACGGGGAAAAGGCTTGTTCGTGTACTGGTGTCTTTACTGCAACACCAACCCGGAGAACCACAGAGCAAATGGCCAGAGGGGTGTCAGGAAATTTCCAGATAAACATTTTTCAAACACAAACTGGGGAGGGAGGGAAGACCTGGGGAAAAGTTTCATGGCAGTAAAAATAAGCTCTCCTGTTTTTGACAGCTCTAATAACCCAGAGCCCAAGATTTGGGCTTGGAAAAGGGCCAGTTGGCCCGGCCTCCATCCGCAGACGAGCTGGAGGTGATGCTGATAGTCAGGGGGAAGCGAGCAGAAGAGCTGGCAAGTCCAATGCCACCACTGACGGAGGGGATGCCTGCCAGTTCACACATAAGTCTGCAGGTCAGACGTGCAACGTCGCTGGGACAGGCGATGCAGAGCAGCAGCAGTTTTCCAGATATTGGGCAATTCTATAAACAAGGAATTTCCTTGAAAGCTATGTGGCAGAATCTAATCGTTTCAAACCATTCGGGCTTTTCTCAATATTTTTGTCACCCTCACGTTGGTGTAGATTTTGAAATACACAGACAATCTCCTGGAGTCACAGAGAGAACAAAATGCTTTCCCCGGGGCGGTGATAAGAGCTGTCGGGGGCAATCATACAATCACGGAATGGTTGGGTTGGAAGGGACCTCACAGATCATCTAATTCCAAACCTTGCCTTGTGGGATTGACTCAAGTTGACTCAGAAACTTTTGGATGGCCACCAAAATGTCAGCTTTGCACCTGGATTCCCTGCCAGTAACTTCACCTCCACCGGCTTAATCGGTAGTCAACAGGAAAAGAAAGAGATGGTGGGAAAGCTGGGGAAAATAAATTTGTCCTGGTTGTGAAATAGGTAGAACAGGATCTGCCCTGTAATTTTATCATTTATATTCACCATTTTGCCTGGTTAAAACAAAACAAAATAACATAAAATGTAAAATAAAATCTGCATTTCCAGTGTAAATAAGTCTTCCACAAAGCTGTCCGTTATCCTCATTAAGGCACAGCACGATCCAGAGGGTTGGGGCTAGCTCAGTGCTGCATTCGCTCCAGTGCTGCTGCTGCTACCAGAGGAGAGGAGATCCTGGGGGATCCCCCGGAATGGTCCCTTTGCAGAGAAGTGTGGGTGCCTCTCAGGGATGTTAGCTTTTCTCCTGCTTTCAGAAACAAAGTCTGCAGGTTTAACCCCAATGCTTGCCTCGTCCCTTTGCAGAGAGCTTGCTGCCACTGCTGCCCCCCCGATGGCCAAAGCGATGGCAGCTCCTGGCACTGGTCTCAGAGCTGGCCCCCCGTGCTGCAAGGCTGCAAGCTGACTGCTCTGCTATTACAGACTCAGCCCCCCAGGAAAAAAAAATCTGTTATCACTGAGCATATGCAACTGCTAAACATCCTATTCAGTATAACTTCAGCCTGTTCTGAGAACTACATTTCACAGTTTCTTTATGCAGTATCTGTCTGTCAGATATTGCCCACTAGATTACCATAATCTATATAATATACTTCCACCATAAATGTATATATATATACATTTCTTACACATATATATATTTCTTGGTCAAAATTTTTACTACCTACTGTGAACAACAAAAAAAAAGAGATTTAAGTTTTTATTTTAATTTTTCATTTCACGTGTACTATCTTCCCTATATAAATGGCACTAAACAAATTTAAACACTAGCATGCATTGCATTCCGGTATTTGTGCCTCCATTTCAGTGTAATTTCTTTAATCTCCTTTTCTTTAATCTTTAATAGTACTGCATCCATTTAAGGTGTTTCTAGAGCATCTATTGCCGTGGTTCTTAAGTATGACAACAAGGAATAGCTCATATGCAGAATATCTGGGATCCCTGTGCACTTAAATGTACCACTAAATATAAATGCTTAAAAGATTTCATTTCTTACTAAATCTAATTCAGACCTGGCATAAGCGAAGGCAACTCCTAGCAAAACCCCGTGGGTGTCAGGCGGGCAGTATTGCTGTAATAATTAACCAGGGGTCTAAGGCAGTGGAGCAGAGGCTACTCCTTTAATTTCTTGCTTTTCTCTCTTTCTTTCTTTTTTATACCTTTCTGGGTATGGTTTTGTCCGGCTGCCCCTTCCTCCTTTCTGTTCCCCATGTGGCTGAGCTGTGCTCATACCAACTGAACGCCGAGCGTGTTGCACAACAGGCACCGCTGCTTGCACCTATTTGCTGACCAACTTGCAACTGCTGTGCAGCTCGTGCTCTTGCTTGGTCGAGCAAAGGGGGGGCTTGAAGATTATGATTTAGGCATATTAAAATATAACAAGTAAATGCTGATGTCGTCTCGCCAGGAAGACACTTGAAACAGTAAAAATGGATATAAAAAGTTCTTGATATTTTAAGCACCTCAAATTGAAACAACCTTTGGTCTTCTCACTAAGTGTCATATAAACAAGAAGGGAACACTGCACGTCTGAGATATTTCTTTATGGTTTCCTAGCTTAACTCTGCATGGTTTTAAGCACTGTGTGTGTATTGCTGGAGACCTTACCACCGTTTTTGAGAAAATGGGGCCTAAATGCGCTCATATCTGAAAGATACACAGTCTTATTAATGCATATATGCCATGCATAGATTATTAACAGCTTCATAACTAAACACAAGCTTACATTTCAATAAACATACTTTTACAACTGCAAAGAAAAAAAGTTTTACATTAGGATGTTACTTACTTCGTGTCTTTGTCCTGGGAGAATGCAACTAAAGAAACCACATTTAAAATCAGACATTAGATATGCAAATATGTGTTCAGATCAGAGATACGAAAATTATTCAAATGATTAATTATTCATCATAAAAATGTCAATTAATAATTCTGAAGCATAATAGGCATCTTTCTGATGCATCTTTATTTTTCAAGCCTAAATACTGTTGAATCTGTGTTCAATTGCATTCTAACAAGTTTTTAAAAATTCAACAAAGTAAACAACCAACTATAAACAAAAGTGAGCAGCGAATTTTAATAACTGCCGAGAAACGTGCCTAAAGTTCAGCACCAACCCCAGAAGAGAGGGGGAAAATCCCATCGAGTGCAGGATGCGCATCCTCGCCCACCCACCCGCTGCCCCTCGCCCCGCAGCCCCTCGCCCCTCCTCTCTGCCCAGCATGAGAAGCTGTTTGGGTCCCACGGATGCTGCTCTCCTGCCCCAGCACACGCTGTAGTCAGGAGCTGAGGCGTCAGATGTGACTTTATATATGACAAAATTAACAAAAACATATGAGAGAGATTCACTTTTAACATGCAGGGACTCACACGAGATTAAATATTACAGTGATCTGCTTGTTAGAAATGCCCAGGGATAGATAAATTAAAGCCAGACAATCTTTTCCCTCGCTTTTGGCTCACATCCTATCCCTACATGGGTTTTCCGCAGAGGAACTTGAAAACTTTGGGAATGTTGATTCAAAAGGTTTCTTCTCAAATACCTCATCAGCGGGTGGGGGGAGAGTCGTTCCCTGACCCTTTCTTCCTCTCCTCCGTGCCCTCTCCTCCATGTGGAAATGGCAAAAAAACAAAAGGCTTTGCTCTCTACATCTTAGTTTACACGGACACCTGTATCGAGGAAAAGCATCCACCAGCACCTTGGGGCCACACAGGGCATTCCCCACGCAGAAAAATGATTCCAGTCTGCCCTGTCCTCTGCCACCACAGGTGGCTGCAGAGCTCCCCTTCCCCCCCAGTGTGTTTCAGTCTTTTTTTTTTTTTAAAAAAAAAAAAAAACTTCCACTTTTTTATTTTTTTTTCATCCCAAGGCGAGGGCAGCTTCTACACCAGAGGTCTGCTCATGAAAGCAGCCGACACCCCCAGGGGCCTGGGCTCCCCCAACAGGGCCCAGTGCCAGGCTGAGGGAAGGATGCTCTCCCCGGGCTGGGCTCGGCTGGGAACCCCTGAACAGGGATTTTTCATCCCTAATGCAGGCAGAGTTTGGTCCTCGAGAGCCCTGGCTATGAAGGACCTGAAATAAATGCTTCAGAGCAGCTAACGTGTTTCTAGAGGCACGAAACCTCTGTCTTCACTAGCCTTAATCAAAACCTATCAGCTAGAGCGTTTCTCAATACAGCCTCTTTCTTCTGCTGGAGACAGAACCTAACATACATGATTATAGAGGGGGGGAGAATTGTGCCCATCCTCTCCCTGGCCCTATTCCTTCACAAAGTGCAGCAGGGGAACCCTCCAGCAGGGCAGCAGCTGGCAGAAACCTGGGGTGCAGGTGCTGCCCTCAGCCCCAGCACCCCCCTGACAGCAAAAGTGAGGGCATGGGCAAAAAATGTGCTCCCCATGGCATGTTCTGGGGAACAAGCAAGCACATCCGGATAGTTAGGGCCACAAATCATCCCGCCAGACCAGGACTGAGCCTGCAAAGCCACCAGGGCAGCAGGGATCAGCAGAAGGACGAGGGCCTGCAGGGCCTGCACAGGCTGCGATGCCCACAGCAGGGCCAAGCCCCGGGCCCCCCTCTGTTGGTGGGGATCCTTGGGGGGCTCTCTCCCCCTGCCCAGCCCCTTTCTCATGGTAAAAAGCCCCTCACAGCGGGGATGTCCCCCAGCTGGCCCCACAGCCCCACACGGGGCTGCGGGGGGGGGACGTGGGGTCATTTCCATGTGCGGCAGACAAAGAGGAGGCCATGGAGGAGGCAGCTGGCAGCACCCACCATGGCATCTCTGGCACAGGCTGCCCCCAGCTCCCCTCTCTGCTTTCCACGCAGGAAAACTTGAGGAAAAGGGGAAAAACCCACAGCCAGGGAACTGTCCTTAAAACTGCCCCTTGAGCCACACCACCCAGTGCCTTGCACAGGGAGAGAGCTGGGTATTTGGGGTCTGCTCGGTTTAGGATGGATGGGGTGGGGGGCTCCTGTCTGAAGTGGAGAATCGCGTGAGGCTCTGCATGGGAATGCTGAGCACACTGCGAAAGGGAAGAGGCTGGGAGCCGGGCTGCGAGCACCACCCCAATAAAGGCAGGATCTATAGGCTGTCATTATTTCCATATCCTAAAGAAGCTGCACGCCCATTATTAGTTCAGAGCAGGGCAGGAAATCATCACCCGGATTAAGGTTAAATTCCATCTCAGAAGGGCTTAGCTGACTGCTAAATGCTTATGTCCAGTGTCCAAAAATTAAAAATAAAAAAAATAAAAATAAAAAAGAGAAACAACCCACTCCGCATAGCATGTTACAATAGCATCTAATAAGGTTAGGTGTTATGCCACTGCTGCGAGGCTCGGAGCAGTTTATCGCTCTGATGCAAGCCCTGCTAGGGCGCTTCAGAGCTGGAGGAACTGTAAGATTGAGGGCTGGAGAGCAGGCTGCAAAATTATGAATAGGGATTATCTGACAATACCAACATGTTCCTTGAAGCCCGTGAGCATCATCGCACAGGTCTGAGGGTTTGTTTTTTAGTGTAGCTGCTGATATATGTTTTATGATACAACATCGGTGGCACTCCTTCCTACTGCAGGTTAGGCTGCAGCTTCTCTTAATCTGCCGTTCATCCTCCCGTTCTGTAATCTGGAAACATATGAATAATATTTAAGGCATTTGTAATGGGATTAATTTATTTTGAGAACTTGTTTGTGTTGTGGGTTTTTGGTTGCTTTTTCTTACACAAAATGTGGATAACTGGAAATCAAGCGAGTCAGTAATTAGCATTCACTTTTTTCTTTTTCTTTCTTTTTATCATATGCATCTAAATTCAGTTTAGCTCTTTAAGGAATTGCCAGACTGCCCTTGATTTATAGGCAGTGTCTTCTGGATCTGAGAGGATCTAATTCAAATTAATAATACTTGAATCTGATTTCAGGATATTTGCACTGTGCTATACATTTCATTAAGATATCACCACGTTGTGTGCCTGTGTATGTGCACATGACTATCTACAGGTATATTTAGGCATGGGCAAGTCATGTAACCTGCAAGAAAAAAAAATAATAATAATAATAATAATAAAACAGCGTTGGCATTTAGACAGCAGTGGCAAGAAAACTTTTAGCAAAGCCAAGCTAACTCAGATCCGGGGGGTGGAAAATAAAATAAAATAAGTGAATAATGACAATAGCGAATCGAGGGGGGTGAGGGGGAATAAAATAAGTGCATAATTAAAATAGCGAAGAGAAAAGCCTTGTCCCCACCTCTGCGCAGCTGCCGGGCTCGGCGGCAGCAGCCTCCAAGCACTGCGCGGCCGCTCGGACCCACGGCCCGGGCAGGGCGCAAGTAGGGCGCAAATAGGGCGCAAGTAGGGCGCAGCCGTCGGCGCAGCCTTTTTCCCTCGTTCCTCCTGCCGCGCAGGGACCTGCGGCCGGGGGACAGGCAGCGAGGGGCTGTGGGGAGCCTCGGACCCACTCCGGGCTGTGCTGAGCCCCCCCGGAGGCAGCCCCCTGCCCTGCCTCTCCCCTCTCCCCCAGACCCGGATCACACCGGGGCACCGACGCCTGCCTGGAGCTCGCAGGGTTAGGTTCGGGGAGGAGGTGAAAAATAGCAATCGCATCGCGGTGGGGAGGATGAGCTGCTGTTGGGGGGCTTGGGGGACCCCCGCCGTCCTTTGCAGTGTTTAATCATCAGAAAGGTGTCCTCTGATCAGCAGCATTTTTGAGTGCAATTGCTAGTGACTATTGCTCGCGTTCCTGCTCTTGCTGTAGGCACACATTCAATGCACAGTTCAAGAGCAGTTTATCTTAGCTTAATGTAAGTAAAAGTATAGTGTCGGATCAGTGTACCATTTGTTTCAGTTTTCTTCAGGAGGGAGGGAAAAAAAAGAAAAAAAAAAAAAAGTGCTGTAATAGATTTAACTCTGTCAAAGCAGGGAAATTGTTCCGCAGCTCCCTAATACAGCCCTTTGGGCAGCTCCACGGTTACCTTCAGAAAGGATCACGCAAGTAGGAAAGACGTGAAGTTTATCTTTGCACGGAGAGCATTTCAAGCCCTTTTAGAGGGAGAAGCGGCTGCGGGTTGTGCTGGGAGCCGGGCAGGAGCGGCTGAGGCTCAGCCATAGCAGCCCCTTTGCACTAAACCGCCTCGCTCAGCATCCCCAGCCTGGGCTGCCTGACTTACTTCTGTATTAGTTCTCAATTACGTGCAGTGTAAACCAGCTTTTTGATTAACAAAACAGCAGAGCATTGGTTAAGAACACTTAAACTTCAAAAAAAAATCCCCCTGGGAAGTGGGCTCTGAATTGGTTAATAATGTGCAGTACTTGCTAAATTGCTGACTTCCAGATGTGGAAAATATCTTTCTTGTTTAGGACCTACGTAACCTGATTGGATTACGACAGAAGCGTCACATTGGAAGGCTTTTGAGTGATGATTTAATTAACCATACAGTAGAAAGCTGTATTTGCCAGGAAACCCCTTCCATATTTGCATAACCAATCCCTTCAGTGCAAAGGTGGAGTCTGGGCTTCTTCTCTTTTTTTTTTTTTTTCTCTCTCTCTCTCTCTTTTTTTTTTTTTTTTCTAGATGCAATTTTATTTTAATTTTAATACTTTGCAAAGGTGAAAAACTTGTAACCTCCGCGAAGTTCGGTACCACGCGTTGCTCGCCCGAGCTGCCTGCCGTGCAGCCAGCCCCGGGCAGGGCAGGGGCAGGAAAAAGCGCCCAGCTCCCCCCTGCTCCCTATCTGTGAACAAAACAGAGCGACTGTAAGATCTCAGCACGGTTGTTGTGTTGTTTTTTTATTATTTTTTTTTTTCATCAGATTTAGCTGACTATTCAAATAACCTGGACGAGTGCTGAAATGAAATGAAAGAGAGGGAAAAAAAAATAATAATAATAATAATAATAAAAATGCCCCCAAAGAAACGCGTGAGGATAAAAATAAAACAGCAGCAAAACGAGCGGGAGGCAGCCAGGAGCTCGTTTGCGGTGCCCGCACAGAGTTTAGTTTCTAGGCGTTGCGTTAGGGTAAGTTTTGGCCCTCCGCAAGCTGCGGGAGCTGCGGGAGCGCAGCGGGGCAGGATGCGGCCCCCGGCGGCTCCCGGGGCGGCCGAGGCGGGGGGGGGATCCCGCGGGGGGGGGGGGGGGGCGGGATCCGGCGGGGGGGATCCCGCCGGGGGGGGCGGCAGGGATCCAGCCTGAGGGCAGGGATCCGGCAGGATCCTGCTGCGGTTGGGGGGGGGGATCCGGCACACATCTTGCCTGGGGGAGGAGGATCCCATATGAAGGGGGGGCTGGGGAGGGGGGGTTATACCCTGGGGGGGTCGCAGGGGGGGAAGAGGCATGGGGGGGATAGGGATGCACCGCGGGGGGGTGGGGGGATGCAGCCTGGGGGGGGGGAAATGCACCCCTGGGGGGTAAAGATGCACCCCTAGGGGGGAAAGGATAAACCCCGGGGGGGTAAAGGATGAACCCTGGGGGTTAAAGGACGCACCCCGGGGGGGTCAGGGGATGCACCCCAAATTGGAGGGGGGCAGAGGCTGCAGCCGGGGGGGCCCGAGGCCGCATCCCCCCGCGGGGCAGGGGCTGCGGGGGGGCCGCGGGGCGCGGAGCGGCGCGGAGCGGGGCGGGGGGCGGGCGCGGGGCGGGGGGCGGGCGGGAGGAGGTGGAATTGCATTTGTGCCGCTAAAGCCCTTCGCGGAGACTTCAAGGTATAATCTATCCCAGATCCTTTCCCAGAGAGAAACTTGGCGATCACGTTTCCACATGATGCTCACGTTTGGTGCTCTTCAATTATCCCTCCCCACAAAGATAGGTGGCGTGTGTTTCAGGGTCTCTCCTCTCGCTCCTACAGAAAAGAAAAAGAAAAAAATGTCATTAGAAGAGGCGTAACACGTCAGTCCGTCCCCAGGTTTGTGTTTCCTGGAGTGGCAGAAAGAGATCAGTCCTAACCTGCCCAGCAGGAATAACGGTCCTTCCGACAACTCTTTGCAAGGCTTTTTACAATTTCTCCAGGAGCTGCATCTCCCTTCACCTTTTCTCCTCCACTTCGCGGCTTCTTCATGCTTTTGCTTCTCACCATTTCTGGCCAAAACTACAACCAAGACTTCGCAGGTAGGTTGGGAATTTAATTCCGTTTTCCTTCTTTTTTTTTTTTTTTTTTTTTCCTCCCCTTCTTTTTCCTCCCACCACCTCGCGCTCCAGCGGGCTTCTTTAATTTCGATAGCGTTTGATTTTTTTTTTAATTTTATTTTAATTTTTTTTAAGCATGCTGGCTTCTCCCTGCCTTGCTCAGACTTGGGGCGAAAATCTCCTTTTTTTTTTTTTTTTTTTTTTTTTTTTTTTAACCGAAACCCGAAGTCACTCGGGCTCCTGCTCCGGGAAGGGGCGAGCGGGGTCGGGGCGCTGGGGGCTGCCCCCCCGCTACCTGTCACCAGGTACGGGAGGCGCCTTGCGCACCGCAGCAGCCAAAGTTTTAGCGCCGGGGAGGCACCTCGTCCTCCCGCAAAAAGGCGAAATCAAAGGCTGGGGATTTAAAATAAAAGCCACCCGGCCACCTCCTGCTCTTTTTTGCTTGTAGGGTTCCCTCCGGAGCCCCAAACTTTGCAGGTACCTGTTAATGGTAACGCCGAGCCGGCGCGGCCGGGCACCGCTGGAGCCCCAGCCCGGGGCAGGGCTCCCGGCGAGGATGTGTTTCCCCAACCAGAAAGTTTGCTGTTTTGTCTGCTTACTTAGTTTCATTTCTTTATTTTATTTTGCGAAGCTGGGTGAAGTAACACCTTAGCTTCTGGGATCCTAAAGCAAGAAGTGAAAGTACTGACTGGAACTTAAAAGTCGTTTACCAAAAAGCGAAAAAAAATATATATTAAAAAAAAAAAATGCTAGCCAGTTGTCTGGGAAGAAAAGTGTTGCCGAGATCTGCAGGTTTCAAATTATTGACAACTTTTGGGGGGAGGCTGAAGAGCAGGGGAGATAGCGAAATGCATTTAAAACAATTCTCCATTGGGCGTTTTGCATGAAAACGCCACTCGCCGAGGAAGGCTCAGAGCCTCGCTCGCCTCGGCTCCTGTCCTCCCCACTCTGCTGCATCCCGTGTCAGACCTGCCCCGGTGATGCCAGCCTTGCCCACTCCAGAATCGGGAAAAACTGGCAAATCTTAAACTTTCTGGCGCATTTCTCAGCCTCTCCCTTCCTCGGCCGCATGCATCCACATCCAGAGAGCTCGCAATCCTCCCTGCCCAGGCGCAATCCCAGGCAGGAGAGTGTGAGTAAACATGCTGACCCCGCACACACACACTCTCAATATTCCCATCCTCTTACCTGCTCGGGGATTTTTTTAGCCAGGCAGGTTTTATAACCGCAAAGGTCTGAACAGAGAGTTCAGGCGGAATAAAAGACCTAGCAGCAACACACTTCCCTGCTCAGTCCTGGTGTGAAGCTCCAGCAAAGTCAAAAGACACAGGGAATAATAATAAATAGAAAAGCCCACTTTGCTGGGGAAAAAAAAATGGTGAGGCAGGTAATCATTTATTTTATTTTATTTTTCTACGTTTTGCTACAAAACTCCCAGTGCAGGGGAAGACAATAGATGCGAAGGCGAGGAGGGGGAATCCTGCTCAGGAGAGCAAGGGTTAATTGCCCTTGTTTTACAGTTTGCATCTGTTACATCTTTTATAGCCCCCTGTTTAAACTAATCCTCAAGTCAAAGCATCTTTAAAGCTACAGCATCTTCCTCGAGGTGGACTGAGTTTCAGGAGCGTTCTTGCAGCAAAGCAAAGGCTCCAGTGACAGATAGAGGCTCCTGCACAGCCGGGTACGCACAGTAGGTCCCAAAGTTTACAAGTTAAAACACACACACCCAGCCTGAGAGCCTGAAAACTCTGACAGCGGTAGTTTTGATTTCTGTTTCTTTTCTGGGGAAAGAGAAAAAAAAAATGACACTCTGAAGCTTTGTTTAAGTAAGGGGCAGGGGAAACCCTGAATATTGTCAAACTGACTAAAAAGGTGACAGAGGTTTATAATTACCCCGCTCATTGTTAGGGGGAGGGGGAGGTCTCCGCTCTGTGCTTTACCCCAAAAGGGCAGGGGAGAGCCATGTTTCCCTCCGCTCTTATCACTTCGCTGGGGTCCACTCTGGCAAAAAAAAAAAAAATAAAAATAAAATAAAGAAAATGAAGGCAGGGGCAGCAGCAGAGAAGGCTAGCATTTCGTGCGCAAACAAGTCCTAATGTCAAATTAAAGTACTTTTAGGAGGAAACGGTCCGCCTAGCATTGAGTCAGGCAGCCTACTGTAAAAGCTGTGCTTCTCCTCATATACGGTCATGAGTTATGACTCATTTGAGATGTAATTCTGGGCTCTCTCTGATCTGCTTTGCTGGTGCAACACACACACACACACACACACACACACACACACACACGCACCCGCACACGCGCGCACACGCACCCCGGGAGCGAGCGGGAGCCACACGCACACGCACACCCGCACGCAGGGGCACGCACCAAAAAGAAAGAGAGCGAAAAAAAAGAAAGCGAAAAAAAAAAAAAAAAAAAAAAAAAAAAAAAACAGAAAGAAAGAGAAAGAAAGAAAGAGAGGAGCAAGAAGGCAATCTGCCCGGCTGGGGAGCGAGGGGGGAGCCCGCTCCGTCTGCGTCCCACCTCCCCCGGCACGGCAAGCCTCGCCGTGTGCGTGGATGGGTTCTTTTGCGGGTGCAAATTCGGGTCCCCGTTGGCGCCCTGCGTTTAAATGGGATATACCAATGCCCACATTGTTGCTGTGTTTGGTTGTTACATAGAGTCTGCGTGCTGCTGAATCAGGGAGTCGAGTCCATGCGAACTGCCATCTGATCCACTCTTATCAATGAAGCAGCAGATCATGGCGGATGGCCCCAGGTGTAAGAGGCGAAAACAAGCCAACCCCCGGAGGAAAAACGGTAAGCAGCCCCCCGAGCAAACTTTTCCGGCCGGGCGGAGAAGCCCCGGGGGGGGTGGTGGTGGTGAGGGGGGGGCTGGAAGGCGAAGGGGGGGGACCCGGCGCAAAGCGGGGAGGCAGCGGCGGAGCCCGGAGCGGGGCGTCCCGCGGAGGCTGCGCGGCCGCGGAGGCTGCGGTGCTCCGGTGATGCTGGGGGGGGACACTCGGGGAGGCAGCGGGGTGCTCCAGGAGGGGGCCAGGGGGGCGCGCAGCGCGCCCCCGCCGCGCCCCAAAGTTTGTTGCGCGGGCGCGGAGCGGGCGCGCCCCTGCCCCGCGGCGGAGGGGAGGCGGCGGCCGGGGGCTGGAGGGGCCGGGGGGGCGCCGAGAGGAGCGGAGAGGAGCGGAGGGGGGCCGAGAGGGAGCGGAGGGGGCGCGGAGAGGTGCGCAGGGGGGCGGCCGGGGAGCCGCCGGCCCTGGGAAAAAGCCGGCACCGTGAGAACCCCGGGGCGCGCCGGCACCGGGCAGCGCCTCTCGCTCGGACTCGGCGGAGGCTCCGCAAGGAAACTTCCTCCCCGGGAACCGGGAACCGGCCCCACGAGGTCAGGGGGGGGCCTCCGGGCCACGCTCGCCCTCGCCCCCCGGCCCCGGAGGCTGCGGGGGGCAGGGGGGGCGCTGGGACGCGGTGCTCCGCTCCGAGCCCCCCTCGGGAGGCTGGCACGGGTGCGGGGCTGTGTGTGCGTGCCTCCCCGAGTGCCTCCCCGTTGGTTTTTTTTTTTTTTTTCCCTTTCTTCCCCCCCCCCCCCCCGGCCGACAGCCGCTGCCCCCCTCCCGCAGCCCCTCGCACGGCCGGGCCGGCCCCGCTCGCAACAACTTTCCTCCCCGCCGAGGAGCCGGGGGAAAGGAAGATGTTTTGTGCGAACCTGAACCCGCTCGCTTAGGGCTCGGCTACTTCTTTTAAGTGGAGAGGTGGAGGTGGGGGTGGGAAAAGGGGGGGGGGGGAGGGACACGACAACAATAACAAAAAAAAAAAAAAAAAGAAAGAAAAAACAAAGAGGAGAGAATGTTGATTAGAAACAAATGATCCTTCCCCCCCTCCCCTTCCTCTCTCTCTCTCTCTAGGTTGTGAGTGTGTGCGAGTGTGTGTGTGTGTGTGTGTGCGTGTGTGTGTGTCTTTTTCTTGTTGTGGTGGAGGCGTCGAGCCATATGGGGGAGTGATAGAGGAATTTTAGTCAGAAACTGTTCGCTGTGTTACACTGGCTTTTCCCTTTGTGTTGTCTTTGATCTATTTGCTTGGCTTAGTATTACAAAAAACCCCAACTAAAATAATATATTCCGAGCAGCTTCCCAAGGATCCGTTCCTTGTTATCTTTTTTTAAAGTCTCTCCCCCTCCACCACCACCCTTTACTCTTGTGTCTGTCATTATTTAAGGTGGTCCTCACAGAGGAGACCTCCCCTTCCCCTCATCTCTGGGTAATTTAGTAGACATTAAAATTACACGTAATGTTTCCCTCTCCTCTCTTGTGTTTCCTCTGTTCTTTTTATTAAATGTTGGTTATTGATTTTCTAAAATCAATGTCTGTTGTGGGGCTTT